TGAAGATGACTATCATATCTCCTCTCAGTCATCCTCTCTTCTTCAGGCTCAACATACCCATCTTACTCAGCTGTTCCTCATATCTGTTCTTTGTCTTGGAAATGTGCTTACATGGCAGCAGGTGGTCCATGATTTTTATTATTATGAACCACTCTGGAATCAATTTTTGATGAAGAGTGGTATATAAACATTGTAGATAAATTAAATAAACAACATTTCTCATGGTGCTGTGGAGAAATACCAGGTTCCACAGCAGGGGTGAGGATCCTGCGGCCCCCCAGATGTTGCTGGACTATAACTCCCACCATCACTGACCACTGCTCATGCTGCTGATGAAAATTGGAGTCCAACAACATCTGGAGGGCGGCAGATTCCCATGCCTGGTCTACTGAGTGTCTGCTCCTGATTGTGAAACAATGGCGTGTGTGATTAAAAATACCAAACAAAAAGAAGAACGAGTGCAATTTGAAATGGATAAATCCTGCTCATGAGCCAAAGGTAATTTGCAGGCATTTAACTGACAGGAAACGGGTAAATTGCTTATGGATATTTCCCAAAGAAAGAAGGGAAGTTCATCAAACACAATTTTGATATGAATTTTGTCTTTAGCTCTAGGGAACTAGATAAGATTCTGAGTTATTAGATATTAGCCTGGAGCATTGTGATAACATTAGATATTATTTATCATTAAAGCCAGCCAGGAGGAAAGAGCCATTTTTTTGTGGGGGAGAACAATATGTTCTTGAAACAAGAAGGAGCGGAGGAAAGCGAAGAAACCACACTGAGCTGTAATACCAAAGCTTTCAATATTATACAGCTTATTTCCTTGCTTTAGCTCAGAGTGAAGTTAAGATGCTTAATGCTTAATGAAAACAGAACTTCTTGTGTTTGACAAAAACCCCAGGAATGTATAAAGTGTTTGAAACATTGGTTGTGTTTGCACGAAATGCTACTAAGCTATAAACCTTGGCTTAATAAAACTTACTCTGTGCAAGCTGTGTACTGGCACATGTAGCCCAAACACTTTGCTTCTCCCTTCATGTGAGCAGGTAAACAAACGGTGAAGGAGATAGCTTAGCATTATGTTCAAACCCAGGACTGTGGTTTCTTTCACCCTAATTAACCCATGATTACAAAGCCAGCAGCAAAGCATGGTGAAACACTATCAAGGAATTGTGGCTGTTTAGGGTAAAACAAGACACGGTCCTAGGTTCAGACATAATACTGAGCTAGCCCCTTTGTGTACCTCAGGGGTGGAGAACCTCCAGGCCTTTCCATCTGGCCCTTGAGACGAAGAAGAAGAAGAAGAAGAAGAAGAAGAAGAAGAAGAGGAGGAGGAGGAGGAGGAGGAGGAGGAGGAGGAGGAGGAGGAGGAGTTGGAGTTTGGATTTGATATCCTGCTTTATCACTACTTGAAGGAGTCTCAAAGCAGCTAACAATCTCCTTTTCCCTTCCTTCCCCACAAAAACACTCTGTGAGGTGAGTGGGGCTGAGAGACTTCAGAGAAGTGTGACTAGCCCAAGGTCACCCAGCAGCTGCATGTGGAAGAGTGGAGACGCGAACCCAGTTCCCCAGATTACAAATTTACCGCTCTTAACCACTACACCACACTGGCCAGTGTTTCCCAAACCTGGGTCTCCAGTTGCTTTTGGACTACAATTCCTATCATCCCTGACCACTGGTCTTGCTAGGGATGATGGGTGTTGTAGTCCAAAAGCAGTTGGAGACCCAATTTGGGAAACACTGTTCTAGACCATGCACTCTCCTCTCACTGACTTTTATCCGCAACCTCCTCAAGCACTTTCACCTGGTTGGAATGTGTTCTAAACAATATAATTCAGTCATCCAAGGCACAGAATTACACGCGAATGTGGTAGTGGGAATCACAGGTAGGACAGGTGTTCGTAAGTGCCTTTTGATTTCACCCGTGCTTATAGCCATGTATAACATACGTTCCAACATGTTGAGGCCCAAAACCGGGGTGCACACCTGCACAAGAGCACAGAGCCAAAAAACACATGCTTTGAGGTGCAGCAATCTCACATGTTTTGGGGCGCACCCCCTAACAGGATGTACGGTATGGTGTAACTGTACAATAATCTGAATGCTACAGAGCAGACCTGGATGTGATTTTAAGCCACAGATTTTGGGGGAAATGGTGTGGAAGATTCCTTCCTATTCCTTGGTGAAAACCTCACGGGATATAATCGTTTATTTTGTAAAAAAAATTAGTTCTTTCAATGTAGTGAATTACTCACTCCAAAGGCCAAAGAATACATGAAGTTAAATGCATGAACGCATTTAGCATTTGTAGTCATCCTTCCCCACCCCAAATAGCAGTATATATAGGGGCTTTACCAGGATTGGAACCATATATTTCTATGGGAAAGGGATTAGCTTCCCCTTAATGAAAATTGCTCGGATAAGCTGCTATCAGTTCTGGGAATGGAAGTTTCTTTTTGGCACCAATGCAAGCTTCCCACCCAGCCACTGGGGTTGTGGTAGTGACAGGACCACAGTAGAAGGAAAACAATTGACTCCCCCATTGCCTTGGCTGGTGGCCCCTATGGCTGTTATGTATTTTTTGAAGGCGGGGGGACCCTAACCATGTCAAATGTAGTCATACATTTAATATCACACTTAGTTTGGCCCTACGTAGATGGGAGGCAGGGGGCAAGTACTTGGATTCAGCAGAGCGCAAGCAGGAGCTGATTAAAGAACAGGCCCAGGGGTGTCTAACGACTGCAAGTGCATGTTTTCAGTTTTTCTTAAAGTAAATAAGTATGCTTTATTCATAACCAGCCTCCCTCAGGCTACACACAGGGAACAGTGCTTTACTTGACACCTTTTAAGATTGACTCCTTATTAAACAGCTTGGGTCACAGAAGGATATCCTTGAAAGTATCTATAAAGAAGTTCCCTGTTATAGCCTTCGTGGTTGGTTGGTTGGTTGGTTGGCAGGTAGAGAGGGGGCCCAGTTGCAGTACCATGGCCCTAAGAGGACCAGTCAGCATCAGCTAAGCTGCTGGGAGGGCAGGCTGGGGCAGGTGATCAGAGGACTACATACATATGGAGCAGCTTGTAAACGCAAGAACCGGTAATGTAGAATATGGTGACAACATGTTTAAGAAAACCAGCAGCTGTGCTGTCCGCAGCAGGAGGAACTATTGGGTGGCTAGCCAGGTGTGAAAGCTGTTTTGTTGTACGCTAGATCTAAGGTGGGGGGTGGGGGAGAGAAAACCCTGTATTAGTTTTTAAGGCACTCAACCCCTGCATCTCTACTCTTGAACTGCACTGTTGTGCTTTTAATGGTTCTTTATTTTATTTTTTAAAAAGGCAGTTCTTAAAACATTGTGACCATTAACCTAAAATCCAGGGGAAATAACAAGCAAGTGGAAACAGTCAGGTACCCAGACATTGATGAATACAAAGCCTGAAGTTTAGCGAAGTGATTTATCCCATCACATTTTGCAAGCTGTTCACCTCACAATAGCGAACCGCTGCTTAGTAATTGAGAAGGACACATCCTCTTTCTTATATTGAGTCTGCCTGTGAGCGATGATGATGGCAAGTTAATTAATTATCTCCGGCATCGGTTTACTTGAACATTTTCTTTTTCTCCAGCAGCCTTTTGAAAAGAGCCCAATAGAGGGCTTGATTAGGGGGATAATGAAGGAAATTTCCAATAGATTATATCATTTCTCATCTATTTGCAGCCATTGTTAACATGGATTGCTCTCTCAGTGCCAGGATTCGCGTCAGGGAAATTTCATAAGCATGTAAATCTACCTTAAATGGGATATTTAGGGATAAATTCAAGTAATTGCATGTTTATCATATTTCTGTCAATGTGATGCGGGAGGGGGGGGAGGAGAGAAGATCCGCTGCCTCAATCTCACTAAGAGGTTTTATTAGATGCGCCCAGTTTCCCTTTGTGCCAAATTATATGAGAAGGATCTATATTTTGAGGGGAAATGGGTTGACACCAATTGCAAAGAATAGACATCTTAGAAATGCTGGAAAGAGAAATAACAGCATACCCCTCAAAAGTTCCTGACTGTGAGGAATGCCCTGAATGTCCTCCCTGCAATCTCCCTCCCTCAACTAGGCCTTGTTTACAGGCTGTCACCTAACCTGGGACCAGAGAGCAGGGATGGAGAACCTGCACCTGCACCCTAGATGTTGTTGGACTCCAAATCCAATCAACCCAGGTTAGCATGGCCAAAGCAGGAATGATGGGAGTTGTAGCTCAAACAAATATCTGGAATTTCCCATCTCTTCCATGGACAACAGTTCCCCCTGCCCCTCTACTGTTTTCAAAGATCATCATTTAAATGAAAGGGGTGATTCTATGTTTTCCATCTTGGATACAAAGAGGACCATCTTGGCTGTGAGTCATGGACTTCTTGATGTTTCATTTATTGCATATGACTACTTTTGCTATGTTTGTAATTATGTATCCCCCCCCAATGCTATAAGCCACCTTGAGCAGGGTTTAACTATGAAAAAGGCGGCATACAGATAAAATTATGTATGGCTGGCTGGCTGGCTTTCAGCTCAGTTTTTAATTCTTAAATTACAGTTTCCAAATGAAGGCCTTTCTTACCACAATATATATTGCAAATAATAAAAAATGCAGAAAGTTCTATCTAATAACTATCTAACACAGCAAAGCACTCTGTGTAGGGCTTCCCTTGCACTTGATCCAGAAGCTGCAGTTAGTGCAGAATGCTGCAGAATGGTTGCTAACAGGAATGAGACCTTGTCAGCAGATAAGAGATCTGCACTGGTGGCTGATTTTCTATTGGGCCAAGTTCACCGTGTTAGTATTAGTATACAAGCCTTTAACAACCGGGACCAGTTTACCTGCAATATCACTGCTACAGGGGTGTGGGTGTGTAGCCTGCTTTTCCACTATGGAGCTCAAAGTGGTAAATGTACATAGTTCTCATTTTATCTGCAAAACAAGCCTGTGACATAGGTCAGATTGAGAGTGAGCTGCTGGGGTAGCTCATTTGGCAGAAAATGAGACTCTTAATCTTAGGATTGTGGGTTCAAGCCCCACGTTGGGCAAAAGATTTCTGCATTGCATGGGTTGGGCCAGGTGACCCTCATGGTCCCTTCCTACCCTCTGTTCCTATGACTGCCTCAAAGTGACCCAGTGTCTCTGAAAGCATGGATCAGGTAGATTTGCCTTTACAGTGGTACATCAGGTTACATACGCTTCAGGTTACATACGCTTCAGGTTACAGACTCCGCTAACCCCGAAATAGTGCTTCAGGTTAAGAACTTTGCTTCAGGGTGAGAACAGAAATCATGCTCCGGCGGTGCAGCAGCAGCGGGACGCCCCATTAGCTAAAGTGGTGCTTCAGGTTAAGAACAGTTTCAGGTTAAGTACGGACCTCCGGAACGAATTAAGTACTTAACCTGAGGTACCACTGTAAATGCAAACTGAACCAAACTCCTCCCCTCTTGCTGCTGCTGCTCCACCACCTGCTCACTCCCCACTAGCGTTTAGGAACAACCCCAAGAAAAGCTGAGCTGGGAGCAGATCCTTGACTGGCCTGTGAAGACTTAATTGTTAAAGCCTGGAGTTACATGTCCCCCTTGCACTTCTGGAGTGTTGGACAGATGGGCCAGTTTTCATCCCTGAAATGGGTCTCCCTGCAATTTCAGAAAACTGGATCAGTCTGCAGAGGAGTTAGAAAATGGCAGTGATACAAGATCAGAAAAGAAGAAGTGGAAAGTGTTTGATGGGGTTAAATGTCCCAGCCTGAAGTAAAGCAATTTCCTCTCCTCTCCTGCCATTTTCTTCCAGAGGCTTATCATCTCCAGCTGGGACGATATAAAGCCCCATTTAATCGAGATCCATTTAACACTGAATCATGCTAACAAGATTACTTAGCTAGGGCTAATTCTGTATTTGCTGAAGTTCCATATCCAGGCAGAGTAATCTGTAGGCAGTGATGGTGGCAGGTTGAGAGGCAGTCTGTGGAGCCAGGCCACTAAACACCCAGCCGGCTGCCCACTATCTCCATTCCATTCTACTAGAGATCACTGCAAAGTTGCCTTTATTGTTTACCCTCGGAGAAAACTTGAAACTGGAATTGTGTTCTTCTGTTTCCCTTACAGCCAAACAGGGAAACTTAGCAAAGTCCTCTTCTGCCGTTATCTGTTGAGTATGCAACAAGTCTTTTCTGTAGGATTGCCATGTTTCAGTCTAACAGGGCTCCTGTGTTTCCAAGAGCTGCAGGTGAAACTTTCCCCATTACTGATTCACCTGTTGCATTTCTGCCTGTCAAATCAATCTAAAGAGGAAGGAGGGGGAAAGAAACTCTATGTTGCAGTTAAATGGCCAGACTTTCCCTCTGTCTAGAACTTGATTCAGATGGTTTTGTCTTCTATCAAGAGATAAGATTTGAGGGCTATTGCATGTACCTAAAAGTTATTGCCATTGTCATATTTTCATTTTTTAAAAAACAAAATAAAACCAGTCATTTAGAAATATTGTTTGCACTATACATTCACTTAGCTATCTGCAGGTTCAGAAAACATCCCACCAGGAACAGTGCCACTTTAGTGATGGAGCCCATGGTTTGCATACAGAAGGAGCCAAACTTGGTTGACTGCTGTCATCACACCTCACAGATTTCAGGTATCAATATTTCAGAGGTGTAGACTGCTGCATATGATATTAGATTCACACACACACACACACACACACACACACACATAAAGAGTGGCTGATTGTCAGCACAACGATTCCATGTTTACCTCTCAGTAAGACTTCTATGTTATTAGACAATTAGTGGTGACAGCAGCGGCAACAGTTCAAGCACTTCCCCAAGCACACAAAGGGCTTAACTGTGGGTGGGACAGGGACATGCACAAAGCTCCACCCTGCTCTGCTGCTCTTCAGATCTTGCCATGATTAGCAGGAAGGTTTGAAGAGGGTTTTGAAGTGCTTAGTAACTTCCCCACAAAAGAGAATCGCGTCATGTCAGGGTTATGGATCATGCGCAAGAATTTCTAAGCACATTCAATTGAATGCAGTTTAAAACCTGCTAAATCACACAAAGATCTGAACAGTAGCCTGAGGGCATTGGGGGTAAGGCACCCCCATACCTTTGTGTGTTCAGGTGTGTGGCTGAGCACACAGCTTTTACCACTGATGATTAAGGATCATTTGCAATCATTTTTGCTCCACTACCCCCCTTCTGTCCATCCCCGCAAGCTTACAATACTGCAGCGGTCTCATAATTCTGATAGTTTTAATTTCAGACCCTTTCCTAGTAACCTCTAATATGTACCAATAATCTGGCTAGGCATAAGGCTGCTTCACATTGTTGATAATTTTGTAGCTTTGGTTCATTTGTTTGTTTTGTTTTGCTAAAGCTTGCCAGCTTTGGGCAGTCAGATGTGTTGAAACACACCTTCGTTAAGAGGCACCGTATTTTTCGCCCTATAGGACGCACTTTTCCTCCTCCAAAAATGAAGGGGAAATGTGTGTGCGTCCTATGGGGCAAATGCAGGCTTTTGCTGAAGCCTGGAGAGCGAGCGGGGTCGGTGCGCACTGACCCCTCTCGCTCTCCAGGCTTCAGGAAGCTATCCGCAAGCCGTGGGAGACCGGCGGGAACAGCAGCCTGCAGCCCGAAACCCAGGGAGCGCAGCGGGGCACACCCTGGGCTTCGGGCAGCTCTCAGACTTCCCGCCGGGCTCCCAAGGCTTGCGGACAGCAGCCTGTTCTGGGGGCTGGGGTCGGGGGAAGCTCGGGCTTCCGCCACCCCAGCCCGGCAAGCTCTGGGAGTGATGGCGAGGTTGCGCAACCTCGTCATCGCTCCCGGACCCCCAGCCCCGAGGCTAAAAACAAAGCCAGGACAGCGAGCGGGATCCATCCCGCTCGCTGTCATGGCTTCTTTGCTCTTTGGGGCTCGGGGGGGAAATAAAACTTTTTTTCTTTATTCCCCCCCCCAAAGAAATAAGTGCACCCTATGGGCCGGTGCGCCCTATAGGGCGAAAAATACGGTGTATCCCAAATTGCCTGTGCATGGGCAAGGTGAGAAAAGGAAAGCTGCAGTTGCAAGCTGACCATCCATAATAATATACACAATGACCTTCTTGTCTATATATCTATGGAAACAGTTACGGAACCATCCTTTGTCAAGATGATATTTCCTCATAGGTAGTACTGGATGAAAGACTGCTCATGCTACTTAATGGAAATCTCCTCTGAATATGGAAGCAGAAAACTTACCAGCCCGTGTGTGTGTGTGTGTGTGTGTGTGTGTGTGTGTGTGTGTTCTACACCTGCCACTCCATTCTCACTCACTGTCCCTCCTGACTCCACTAGCACTCTACTTTCTCCTCCCTGCCCCACTCTGGTTTTCTCCCAGTCTCGTAGCATCACACCCCTTTCTGTACTACTCTCTCCTTGTTTCCTGCCTTGAAAAATAATTAAATAAAACAGAGAGAGGTGAAAGAGGAAATGAGATAGAGAAAAGTTTCTCCACTTCCTCCATTAGCTGTATGTAGTTTGAAACAGGCCTTGGTACCTCACGCAAAGTGGGCAGTGAGGCAGGGGCCTGGAATTTAACTGTAGCATCTTCATGGTCAGGGAAGCTACCTAACTGACCATGTCAGGAGGAGTGCTGGGCAAAGCCATAGCCGGGCACTTTCCCTGCTGTGGCCCAGCACTCCTCTTTCATTTCCTTACCTGCTGTGACGTCCATCATGCCCTATCCTGTCCCGTTCGCCCCTCCCCCCAGGTGCAAGCAGTGCCCCCCCTCAATAATGTACAGGTGGTCCACTCCAATTATGGACAGAAAGGGTATTATGCTTTGGACTCCTTGGCTGATGTGAATACGGCAGCAAAGGGAAAATCTTGGGGTTTTAAATAACGTGGAAAGGACATAAAATCACTTTTCTGTTGGGGCAAGGAGATCATTGATCACTTGCTGCCGCGTAGCCGCATAAACTCTAATGGGGCTACACCAGCAAAACGGATGAGTAAGCTGCTCCCCGAGACTTGAGTGACAGCGAAACCATATTTAGTAACAGACAGATTAAAATGAGAATTGCAGAAGCATGAAGTCTTGTTATCTGCAAGTCTTTCCACAGCTGAGCCTCGAGACGCACACTGATTGGTAATTCAGATCATGAAGTTTGTCCCCGTGGAGTCTCCATATGTTTCTACCCCTGGAGGAGCTATGAATGTCAATGCACCCCTTAGGGTGCAATGTGTGAAAATTCTCCAGGGGATGAAATGAGAACTGACATTAATCTGCCACAGGTGGCCTTTGCAACTTTTATGCATTGCCCAGTTTCCTGAAAGTCAAAAGAAAGAAAGAAAGAAAGAAAGAAAGAAAGAAAGAAAGAAAGAAAGAAAGAAAGATGCACCCCCACCCCACCCCAAATGAACACACTCTCACCTTGAGATAATTCATATTAAAGATTTACTGAGTGGAACTGGGAATTCTAATTGCAAGTGACCCACCTAAGCAAAACAATTCAACCAAGTCACAGAACAGTTTTTCCTAATGTCAGGTTTGTACTTTTGTGGTGACCCTACTTCAGACGTCCATGCGCATACCAGTCCCATCAACATGTGTCCAGATCATGGGCCAAAGCATGTTCAGGATATTCAACCACTATTGTTGTACTATGAGGCCATGTGCTCAACTATTTACAAGATGCAATTGCCCATATATACACACAAACACACACAATTGCAAAAAAATCTTGATGTTACTGGACTGCATCTCCCATCAACCCCAGGCAGCACAGTCAACAGTCAAGGATAATGGGAGCTGCAGTTCAGCAACATATAGAAGGTATTAGCTACTCCTGGCCTCTAAGCGTAGTCTCTTTTCTCAGGACTGGAGAGGGGGAAAACAATAGGCCCTGAAGCCAAAGGCACTATGGCACATCCAAAGCCAATTTCACTCCCCCTGCCCCACAATATATGGATCTCTTCAGTAGCCATGGAGCCTGCTACACCTTCCTTTGTAAATTATTTCTGGGTAATTACTGATGACTTTTTAGAGGGGGAATAAAAAAATGATATAATGCCCTTC